TCCTCATCTCTACAGCGGCTGCTGTGTCCTCATAACAGGGCAACCACGGTTTGAGACGTGTTGACCTTAGTAACCACACATACTGTACAGCAGTTTGTAACCTTAGTAACCACACATACTGTACAGCAGTGTGTAACCTTAGTAACCACACACCCACCCATTAAACAATACAAAACTGTACAACATCAGGCCAGCACAGGGCTACCATCCAAGGTCACTGCTCTGGGTTCCCACTACACACAAACAACCAATGTTTCTGTGTGTGTGTGTGTGTGTGTGTGTATGTGTGTATGTGTGTGTGTGTGTGTGTGTGTGTGTATGTGTGTATGTGTGTGTGTGTGTGTGTGTGTGTGTGTGTGTGTGTGTCCATGCCATGTGCTATGTAGTCACACATTGCTGTCTTCGCATTCACTGAGAAACCTCTGCATCTTCTGTACTCTGTCGCCCTCTGCTGTTTGTACATCATAGCTATCCGTATCGTGCGTCACCATTAGCTTTAGAATGATAAAAGTATTGCTTCTGCTAGTTTTTGCCTGAGCATTGATATTGGGACCCCGGCCCTATATTGCTGATGTGTGAGAATTCTGTGTCCAACTCTCAACGTAGAAGCCTTGGGCTAGAAGAGCAATATGGCTGTCTTTCCTTCTATCAAGCTGTCAGATTGACTTTCATCATGTAATGACAGACAAACCTCTGTGTTACCTATTGACTTCTAATATACAGAGTCATTATATAGGGCAGGCATATAGTACTATAGTAGATACAGTTCAAGTCAGAAGTTTACATACACCTTAGCCAAATACATTTAAACTCAGTTTTTCACAATTCCTGACATTTAATCCTAGTAAAAATTCCCTGTCTTAGGTCAGTTAGGATCACCACTTTATTTTAAGAATGTGAAATGTCAGAATAATAGTAGAGAGAATTATTAATTTCAGCTTTTCTTTCTTTCATCACATTCCCAGTGGGTCAGAAGTTTACATACACTCAATTAGTATTTGGTAGCATTGCCTTTAAATTGTTTAACTTGGGTCAAACTTTTCGGGTAGCCTTCCACAAGCTTCCCACAATAAGTTTGGTGAATGTTGGCCCATTCCTCCTGACAGAGCTGGTGTAACTAAGTCAGGTTTGTAGGCCTCCTTGCTCGCTCACGCTTTTTCAGTTCTGCCAACAAATTTTCTATAGGATTGAGGTCAGGGCTTTGTGATGGCCACTCCAATACCTTGACTTTGTTGTCCTTAAGCCATTTTGCCACAACTTTGGAAAAATGCTTGGGGTCATTGTCCATTTGGAAGATCCATTTGCAACCAAGCTTTAACTTCCTGACTGATGTCTTGAGATGTTGCTTCAATATATCCACATAATTTTCCTTCCTCATGATGCCATCTATTTTGTGAAGTGCACCAGTCCCTCCTGCAGCAAAGCACCCCCACAGCATGATGCTGCCACCCCCGTGCTTCACGGTTGGGATGGTGTTCTTCGGCTTGCAATCCACCCCCTTTTTCCTCCAAACATAACTATGGTCATAATGGCCAAACAGTTCTATTTTTGTTTCATCAGACCAGAGTATATTTCTCCAAAAAGTACGATCTTTGTCCCCATGTGCAGTTGCATACTGTAGTCTGGCTTTTTTATGGCGGTTTTGGAGCAGTGGCGTCTTCCTTGCTGAGCGACCTTTCAGGTTATGTCGATATAGGACTCGTTTTACTGTGGATATAGATACTTTTGTACCTGTTTCCTCCAGCATCATCACAAGGTCCTTTGCTGTTGTTCTGGGATTGATTTGCACTTTTCTAACCAAAGTACGTTCATCTCTAGGAGACAGAACACATCTCCTTCCTGAGCGGTATGATGGCTGCGTAGTCCCATGGTGTTTATACTTGCATACTATTGTTTGTACAGATGAAACTGGTACCTTCAGGCATTTGGAAATTGCTCCCAAGGATGAACCAGACTTGTGGAGGTCTACCATTTTTTTTCTGAGGTCTTGGCTGATTTCTTTGGATTTTCCCTTGATGTCAAGCAAAGAGGCACTGAGTTTGAAGGTAGGTCTTGAAATACATCCACAGGTACACCTCCAATTGACTCAAATGATGTCAATTAGCCTATCAGAAGCGTCTAAAGCCATGACTTCATTTTCTGGAATGTTCCAAGCTGTTTAAAGGCACAGTCAACTTAGTATATGTAAACTTCTGACCCACTGGAATTGTGATACAGTGAATTATAAGTGAAATAATCTGTCTGTAAACAATTGTTGGAAAAATTACTTGTGTCATGCTCAAAGTATATGTCCTAACCAACTTGCCAAAACTATAGTTTGTTAACAAGAAATTTGTGGAGTGGTTGAAAAACGAGTTTTAATGACTCCAACCTAAGTGTATGTAAACTTCCGACTTCAACTGTAACTTACTGGCAGCTCTCAACTGATTATACAAAACACTCATAAATAAAGAAATAAATGAACAAAAAGGCTGAAAAGTAAACAGTCTGTCTGTCAGGGGAATACCTGGACATCTACTACATGCATCAGTAAATTGTAGCCGTCTACACTTCAACGGCTTTGCATATGATGATGGATTTTCTCCAATGAATCTATACTTTTTCTATCCCTCTGTGATTTTACGAGACATTAAATCCAGGAAATTATAGAAAAGCAAGGAGGAAACCTGCAGGAGCACTTAGAAAACTGACAAGAGTAGATCTACTCTGAACCATGCCCAGACAGGTTTGTTCTGTTCCACTGTGGTCAAAAAACACCTCTGTAAGTGCTTCTGGCTGAGAGGAGAGAACACCCTGTGTGTCTTCTGATGTTGGCTGTGAGGAACCTGCCAACCCCTGACAGCCAAATGGATGTGCATGGAGGAACGTTCTATCTCCACTTAGCTGTTCAATGAGGACAATCTTTTGAATGAACAATCTGTTTATTTCTTCCTGTATGTTACTAACAGAGGGGGAAAACATCACCAGATTCACAGGGAATACATTACAGAGTATGAAGAAGCATTACTCCAAGCCATAGCTTCATACTACTTGTCAAACATAGAGAACTGATACTGTATACTGGTTGTTGGGGTTGGATTGGTATGAGGTGCAGGGGTCCATGGGTGGCTTTTGACCATGTGGGGGGGATTCCTCATGTCTTACTCATTTGTTGGAAGAAGTTTGGTCCAAATCGGCTGTTAGGTACTATATTTATTGAATATTATCTGAATCCTAAACATTAAAATTGCCAATTTGGGTGCAATCAATTAGCTTAATTTGTCAGAGATCAAACTATATTTCAACAAAATAATGTTTCAGGAATGCTAATCGTATCTGTTACTAACTACAGAAACAATGTCAGAACAATCTGAGATGGTGGGTGTCATGGCTTGCTGAAATAAAATGGAACTGAGTACCTGCACCGCAAATGTTCTACTACAGTGTATTCACTAGGAACCAAACATAATTCACTGGTGAGAGCGCGATGCGGAAGCATTTTTCTGTCTGACTGCTACTGTATCATGTAAGGGCTGCAGGTCTCAAACTACACTGAACAAAGATATGAAATCAACATGTTAAGTGTTGGTCCCATGTTTCATGAGCTGAAATAAAAGATCCCTGAAATGTTCCAATACGCACAAAAAGCTATTTCTCCTAACTTTTCTGCACAAATTTGTTTACATCCCTGTCAGTGAGCATTTCTCCTTTGCCCAAATAATCCAGCCACCTGACTGGTGTATCATATCAAGAAGCTGATTCAATAGCATGATCATTACACAGGTGCACCTTGTGCTGGGGATAATGAAAGGCCACTCTAAAATGTGCAGTTTTGACACACAACACAATGCCACAGATGTCTCAAGTTTTGAGGGAGTGTGCAATTGGGAGTGTGCAATTAGCATGCTGATTGCAGGAATGTCCACCAGAGAATTGAATGTTTATTTCTATACCATAAGCCACCTCCAACGTCGTTTTAGAGAATTTGGCAGTACATCCAACCAGCCTCACAACCGCAGACCACATTTATGGCGTCATGTGGGTGAGTGGTTTGCTGAAGTCAACATTGTGAACAGAGTGCCCCATGGTGGCATTGGGGCCATGGTATAGGCATATACGGACAATGAACACAATTGCATTTTATCCATGGCAACTTGAATGCACAGAGATACCGTGACGAGATCCTGAGGCCCATTGTCATGCTATTCATCTGCCGTCATCACCTCATGTTTCAGCATGATATTGCACGGCCCCATGTTGCAAGGATCTGTACACAATTCCTGGAAGCTGAAAATGTCCCAGTTCTTCCATGTCCCAGTTCTTCCACTCACCACACATGACACCCGCTGAGCATGTTTGGGATGCTCTGGATCGACGTGTACGACAGCGTGTTCCATTTCCCACCAACATCCAGCAACTTCGCACAGCTATTGAAGAGGAGTGGAACGACATTCCACAATCAACAGCCTGATCAATTCTATGCAAAGGAAATTTTGTCGCGCTGCATGAGGCAAATGGTGGTCACACCAGATACTGACTGTTTTTCTGATTCACACCCCTACCTTTTTTTAAGGTATCTGTGACCAAAAGATGCATGTTTGTATTCCCATTCATGTGAAATCTATAGATTAGGGCCTAATGAATTCATTTCAATTGACGGATTTCCTTATATGAACTGTAACTGTAAAATCTTTGCAATTGTTGCATGTTGCCTTTATATTTTTGTTCAGTATTCATTGTTGCGGTGTATAACGGGCGGATGGATATGTTCAAACGCTGAATAAAAAAAGAATTCCCAGAATCATCGTCATAGGGAAATTCCAGACAGTTACCAAAAGTGACTTGCTTGCTAATTGTCCGTTCCATCATCCATTCCGATGGGATTATAGATCAAAGTGTATGCAAAATTATGACTAATATTATAGCCTATCGTGTAAAAAAAAAAAGCCGTAAGGCACTCCAGCCAAATGTATAATTTCTTGGAACTATTTCTTTCTTGTCACAAAGTTCCGCGTACGTACACTGTACGTAGTTCGACAGTGTTCTGACGTCATCGATTTGATGGTCTTCCTTTTCTCGGCGGTTGAAACTGGCTAGGCTGCGTTGTTGTGTCGTTCACTGCTTGCATTTGTGGCGAAGATGGCCGCTGGTCCCCTCTCCGCTGTTCCCAACCCGTCCACGAACAATGATGGGATCCTTATCGGCGACAGAGTTTACTCTGAAGTTTACCTCACTATCAGCAACTCTCTCATACCGGAGGAAAGGCTTCAGCCAACCCCGTCTATGCTCGATGGCCTCGACCTGCACACTGAGACCGACCTCCGTATCTTGGGTTGCGAGCTAATTCAATCGGCTGGTATTCTTCTACGCTTGCCACAGGTAAACACTAAAAATAAAAATCCAGTACTGTCAACTTCTGAAAAACATAGCTAGGAACTATAGTTGGCATTGTTTTACAACTCGATTCTTTGTTTATATAACCCGTCAAAATAAGGCCAAGGAAGGGAAATACACAAGCCAAGGCCTAACTCACAGCTAGCTAATTTGTTTATTAGCGTAATCTAGTAGGCTAACTTGGTCGGTGACGGGTGAATTTATGGAATCAGATATGTGTTATTTAGCGCAATTATCTGTGTTCTACTAATGTTACTTATTTAATTAAGTAGTTGATGTATACGTGTGCTGCGCGATAACATCGGTGGCCGTGGGATGACAAGAACAAAATGGCGGATGTCTATTGCTGAATTGAAAGTAACGTTACTTCCGTCTAATGTATTTTGTTCTTTACATTACAGGTGGCAATGGCTACGGGTCAAGTTCTTTTTCATCGTTTTTTCTACTCTAAATCATTTGTCAAACACAGTTTTGAGGTAAGCCAATTTGTTTCTCTCGGCTGATTAGCAACACAACATTAGTTAGTTTAGCTACGGCATTCTCTCACAGATGGAACGATCTTTGACTCACTGGTGGTGTGCGTAGAGAGAACGTTTACATTGGCGGCCATATTGTCATTTACTGTAAGTTAGCGTAGCTTGTTTGTCACGTAACCAGGCCCGTTTTGAAGCTGAAACCATTCCAAACGGATTGCAGCTAACTAAAACTTGATTTGATTTAGCTAACCACTTTAGATGAACTTATCATTGCAAGGCCTCAGAGTAATGTTAGTGTTTTGATAGCTAACCACATCTAGCTACATACTGTAAACTTTATGGTATTCTTGTGTCCCCAGATTGTTGCTATGGCCTGTGTCAACTTGGCTTCCAAGATCGAGGAAGCACCAAGACGATTCAGAGACGTCATCAATGTTTTTCACCATTTAAAACAGAGTCATAGAGGCAAAAGGTAAGCATCCATATAGAAACTATCCTTCATTTCTGTTAATTGTATGTCAACCATTTGTGAGAAAGGCACATGTATTCATCTTGCATTACATTAATTAGTAACTATGTTTTAAGTATCTTGCATGATGTTGATCTGATGTATTAATGTGAAAAAGTGACCTTCTGTTGATCCATGTACTCTAAACCATACTCTAAAACGTTTCAGTTTCCTCATCTCTGATCAATGGTAGTTACAGCAATATATTCACAGCTTCCTACATAGACAAGTAGATCAGTGAAAGGTGATACATTAACACATCTAACCTAAAGTGTTGCTTGCCAAGAAAAAACCAACTTGGCACCAGAAGACAAGACACACTGTGCTAGACGAGTGTCTTTCTTTGACCAGAATAATCTGTTCAGTTCCAATTCTAAGGCTGTGGTATTAACTTGGGTTCTCTTTTCCCTTGCAACCAACTAACAGCGACCAGCTACATTTACCAAAGCCTGGGTGATGTGGAATGGTACGTAGAGATGAAGCAGTCGGCATGACAACCATGAGCGAGGTGTCACCCCCCCCCCCTCCCCTGGGAGACGCCCGTGGTGTGAGTCACTGCGGACAGGTTGGCCGCAGGTCCTAGGCTGGGAGCCTTGGGGACTCCTTTGTCTCAGTCTAAGCTTTGGGTGTTTGCGGACCCTCTGGTAACGTAGCTCAAACACTACATACTGAATGTACTACAGAGCAACCTCCCTCATTCACTAAATTGCATTCATGGCTTTCACAGAAATATCACCTTTTTCTTTCCTCTTAGAATATTTGCTGAGTTGTTGATATGCATATGTTCACTATCTAGATTTAATATTGAGGAGGTTCAATATGTTTAAGAGCTGGGTTGGTGGAGTTGTTCGTTTTTACTGTAGATCATCACCTGTAATTGATGGACATAAGCAGAGCTCTTCAGACGCTTGCTTTTTAGAGATTTTGTTGGGGGGAAACCGTTTTTCTCTTGAAATTGACCATGGGATGCTACATTTAAGTCCGTTTGAAGTAGATGTACCTATTCCATCTGACTGATTTCAGCTTGTGTAAAAGCTTAGAAATATGCACTATGAACTGAAGCTGCACGCATTTTCCATGTCACATGTTTTTGTCATCCCACTGAAGTCAGGAAATAAGTAAATCCGAACTTGTTTTTGTGCCATGAAATGCACGTTTTAATTGAAACTTTGGTCATGTTTGCGGTCTAGTAAATGTTTAGTTAGAAAATGTATTTAGTTCTGACTGAGATCTGGCATCCGGAAGTATTAGCTACAGAGTCCTGTTACTACCATGTCATATCAGAGGACCAGATGGGAATGCTACCACACTTGCATGACTTCTGCTGTGGGGTCCTTAATCTCCTGTGGGCAGGTTCTGCGTGTTGACTGAGATCTGCCAGGACTGAATGGGATGAGATCTGAGCTGCATTAGTTCCAGGTTTCTATCTGGGTTAAGAGAGATAATGGGGTCCTTCACATGCTTCTTAGTGTAGAGGTTTATGGAATCAGGGTTCAGATGAAAAGCAGATGTCAATCTCAATGTGACTTTCCTGGTTAAATAAAGTATACATTAAAATGTAATTTTACATTTTAGTAATTTAGCAGACGCTCTTATCCAGAGCGACTTACAGGAGCAATTAGGGTTAAGTGCCTTGCTCAAGGGCACATCGACAGATGTTTCACCTAGTCGGCTCGGGGATTAGAACCAGCGATCTTTTGGTTACTGTCACAACGCTGTTAACCACTAAGCCTCCTGCCAGTGACAGTGATGTCCAAAGTTGAGTATATTTACACCCAGTACGTGTATGAGTCTAGACAATGATGTCCAAAGTTGAGTATATTTGTTCTCTTTAAAAAACGGAGGTTTTGATCTGTAAATGGAAGCATTTTTGGCCACCCCTCAAATTTCCAGTCTTGTGGGTCCATTTTCTTACAACCAGTGTTTTTATGTGCATGTTTTGTAGGTAATCGTAGTGTATGCCATACCTTAAGTATTTTCTTTCCATAACATGGTGAGAAGTGTGTTTTGTTTGATGCTTCCTAATTGGGTGACTATGTGACTGAAGTCAGTAAATTGGTTATTTTCTTTTACACAGTATTTGTAATCAGATAGCTGACACCTAAGTTGAGAATCTATTTTTCCTAATACAACAATATAAGGTGAAGAACTGAATGGATAGTCCATGTTTTTGCCAGGTTGTTTGGTGATGTTTAGGTTTCTGTTGATATTTCTGTCAAAGCTGTGATGCATGGTGACTTGGGGCAGACATGGGACCGTGTGACTCAAAAGCTTCCACTGAAATCACAGGAGTTAACTAAACCCCCTTAAAACACAAACCATTTGGGCCTGTTGCTTTAAGTTGGTCAAAGGGGGAAAGAGAACCAGTCAAAGAAAGCAGAAGGGCGCTTTCTTTTAGTCTGTTTTTGAGGGAGGAAATATTTTTGGTTATTTTCATTCTTTTATAAAGCAGGAGTGCAAGTTCATTGATTCTTGATCAGAACTACATTAATACCAAAAACCAAGTGATCAAAGCTGAGCGGCGAATCCTGAAGGAGCTGGGCTTCTGCGTGCACGTCAAGCATCCGCACAAGGTGAGGCCCTGTCACATCTCTCACAACACATACATCGCAACTGTAGATCCAACCGGTGGTATTCTGGCTCAACAGTCACAGCTACATTCATCTCTCAACTAGCATTAGGTCTACCTATCACACTACACTAACACTACTGTTCAATTAAGTGTGTGATAGATTGTCTGACTCACATGACACAGCTGTTGTTCTAGAACGTTCTCTTCTCAGTACAGGCTGTTGCTTTTCATTCTCCCACACCTAGGGATTGTGGAACCGCGTTGGTTATTGCATAATGTCAACTGGTCTTCTTCCAGATCATCGTCATGTACCTGCAAGTCCTGGAATGTGAGAAGAACCAGACTCTGGTCCAGACCGCCTGGTAAGTTCATGGCCTCTTCCCTAACTAACCCAGTGCCCTACGTCACAAACACCTGCTGTATTACAGTCTGCCTCCACCCCTCTGTAACCTCTTTTCTCTGATGGATTCATTAGTGTCTTATTGAGAGCTGTTTGTTTTCCTCTTGTCCTTACATGGCTATTTATAGTCTATGATTCTGGTGACCAAGGAACTCAGTTTAACTTTGTCCTTTCTCTCTACTCTTTGATTAAAGGGTAGTCCATGCTGGTAAGTCTCATAAAGAACCTCTGAACTCTGCTCCTCCAACCACATGACCCCAGGAAGCGCCCCCCATTGGCTGGCTGCCCTTCTCGGAGACAGCCAATCCAGTGAGAGCTCTCTGCCGAGATTCACTGAAGGGGGCGGGCCTTTCCCAACTGCCAACATCGTCTTGTTTTCTCTTGGGGGTGTCCAAAAGGATTTGTATTTTTTTTGGGTTGTGCTTCCAAGGTTAAATTGTTATTTTTTTTTAACCTAATGGATAGCTCTATAGATAACTACAATTGCATTTTTTTTTTTTTTTGTTACTTGCTTTAGATTCAAAGTAAACATAGCCTGAAGTTTTTTTGTTGTTGACTTAACCGTTTTCTGGGTATGCCTTTTTGATGCAGTAGTTAAAGTGTACTGTTGAACTGTCTATTTGATTTTTCTCCAACTGATGTGGTCTGCAGACATGTCTTACAGGCTGAACCTGCTCAGGCTTTGTCTCCAAGGACCTGTCTCGCCACCCATCAATATCCACCGGCCACTTTTAGCAGTAGTCTATCAATAGTCCAAAGTTCAAACCCTCTGCAAGTCTAGGGAAGCTGGTTCTGGGGGGACCCCTGTGTGCTCGTTTTCATTTGAGGCTATCTGAATGTTGTCTAATTGTTCTGAAATCATATGACGGCCCACATACACAAGGGTCACGCTCCAGGACTGGCTCAGAATGGGGAAATATGGTCAGGCTATTCAGAGAAGCCCAGTTTAGATTTCAATGTCTTCAGAGTAAGTTTTTTTTTTTTTTTTTCCCAACACTAAAGCTAGGTTTTGCATATCAGCCCCAGCTTCTATTGGATCCCGAAGGGTGCACGTTCTGGGTGGCCAAGGCTGGGGTGGGATCTGTGTAGGGGTTGCACCAACAGTCTTCTGTTCTGTCACCCCCCTCATCTTTCTGTTTCAGTCTGTCTGACTGCTTGCTAGACACCTAAACCATCAGTCAGAAATGTCCATTGTCTGTCAGATGTTGTCATGTCTTGCCTGAGCTATAACCTATCAGGGTCACTGAATCTCAGACGACTAGCCGCAATTAGAAGCACACTTTTAAACAGCTTGAACCCTGTTAGCTTCCATCAACCGTCATGTCACTGTTCTACACATGGCAGCTTTGTGTAGGCCTTTTGATGGGGAGTTCAAGTTGAGGGTTTACCTACCGACTCAAAATAACAGCTTTTCTATCTTAACTGTAGAGTACAGCATGCCTTCCCACAGCTCTAGCCTGACCTGTCCAATCTGATCCTTGATCTGCGGTTAAGGGAAACTTCCATCTCCTCTCGGCCAAGGGATAAGTCATTACCCATATGGCCTCTGGTTGCATTCTAGTAAAGGGCTGCTATATATCTCTGGTCACCTCCACCTCGGTCTGCATTCACCTTCTGTTTGCATGCGCACTTAATAAAGGCATGTCGTCTGAATAGTAGGACGCATGTCCACCTCTGAATAGGACTTGTGTACTTTTCTTTTGGGCGCCATATTGTCTGTTACGGTAAGGACCTGTGGGCTCTAGGCCATTCTGTACAGACTTGGATCACCGTCCTGTCCTGTGTACAAGCTTTCATCTGTGACGCTGCATGTCCAGCTCAACACCAACATGGATGCACCCGAGAGAGAGAGAGACAAAGCTAAACTAAAACTAGAGTCTCCATACCGTTTGCCTATTACTATTTCAGATGCATAACTGTCTTTACTGGAGCGGGCACCAACTCTGGTCCCATAGAGCTGCAGTGTGCAGGCTTTTGTTTCACCCCAGCACTAACAGATGGTTGAAGTAACATGGTCAAGCTGGAACAAGCCTGTACACCGTATAGCTGTTGGGGACCAGACAGAGGTGTTTGCCCAGACCAGTGTTTGTGATATGGGGAGGGACATGAGGCTGTGGGGAGATGGTGCTATGTTTCTGTATGTTGCTTGTGTCTTGTAGGAACTACATGAATGACAGCCTGAGGACCAACGTGTTTGTGAGGTTCCAAGCTGAAACCATCGCCTGCGCCTGCATCTACCTGGCTGCCAGAGCTCTGCAGGTATGACTGTATTGGATCTGTCTTCTTCTCATCTCCCACCTCCCTGTTCCCATCTCTAGTCTTCTAATTTTTCCTCTCCTGTAATAGGATTGGTCTCTTAACCAGTGTGCCCTACCCATCCTGTTGAATGGCCCCATTTGTAGCATCATCAACTAAGTGCTGCATGTTGCTGTGTCTGTAGATGCCTCTCCCATCCAGACCTCACTGGTACCTGCTGTTTGGTGCCACGGAAGAGGAGATCAAGGATATCTGCATCACCACCCTCAAACTCTACACCAGGAAGAAGGTACTGTACATATCACCCCTAACCTTGTTCCTCCATATATCCTCCTGCGGTGTGACACAGTACACCTTACCTTCTTAACCCCCCCCCCACCACCCCACCCTCCTAACACTCTCTCTGTTTCTGTGTGCCAGCCTGACTATGACCACCTGGAGAAGGAGGTAGAGAAGAGGAAGATGTCTCTGCAGGAGGCCAAGCTGAAGGCTAAAGGGCTAAACCCTGATGGGACCCCAGCTCTGTCCAACCTGGGGGGCTTCTCTCCCGGATCCAAACCCTGTGAGTTTACCTTACCATAGCTGTTCATTTAAACCCTGAGGTTACCTTACCGAAGCTGTTTATTTAATCAAGTGCCCTGCTCAAATCAAGTCATCAGAGATAAAGTGGTTGGAGGGTCCATAGTTCAACTTGGTGGTTGTGTTGGGTCCGTGGTTCAACCTGTTTAACGACCTTCTCCCTTGAAATTTTTTTTATTAACACAATAATACACTATTACATTTCTAAACAGGGACCAAACGGTCTAATGACAAGTTATGTGTCTGTTCCCCAGGTTCCCCCAATGTAGTGAAGGTGGAGGATAAATCTCCAAACATCCAGACCCTGAAACCTGTAAAGAAAGAACCAGACAGCAGAGCCCAGGGTTCCAAGAGCCCACACAACGGGTAAGGAAGTACTCTTAGACATAACAAGGCCCATTTCAAAAAGTAGTTTTTTTTCTTCCATTTTAAGCAGACACCTCTAATGGTAATGGCATCTTTTCTTTCTCGCTCGCTCTCTGTCTCTGTCTCTCTCAGGCTGAGGAAGGAGGTGAAGATTGGAAGGAACAGTGGGAGTGGATCTCGTTCCAGAACTCGCTCGCGATCACGCTCCCCACGCAGACAGTAAGACTTCACTCTTTCATTAATTATGTGTGCTTTACTTAGTAAACTGGCTGTAAAGTACAGCCAGTTTACTACAGTACTTTACAGCCAGTTACTACAGTACTTTACGGCCAGTTTACCACAGTACTTTACGGCCAGTTTACCACAGTAGTTTACGGCCAGTTTACCACAGTACTTTACGGCCAGTTTACTACAGTACTTTACGGCCAGTTTACCACAGTAGTTTACGGCCAGTTTACCACAGTAGTTTACGGCCAGTTTACCACAGTAGTTTACGGCCAGTTTACCACAGTAGTTTACGGCCAGTTTACCACAGTACTTTACGGCCAGTTTACCACAGTACTTTACGGCCAGTTTACCACAGTAGTTTACGGCCAGTTTACCACAGTAGTTTACGGCCAGTTTACAACAGTACTTTACGGCCAGTTTACCACAGTACTTTACGGCCAGTTTACCACAGTACTTTACGGCCAGTTTACCACAGTAGTTTACGGCCAGTTTACTACAGTACTTTACGGCCAGTTTACCACAGTACTTTACGGCCAGTTTACCACAGTACTTTACGGCCAGTTTACCACAGTACTTTACGGCCAGTTTACCACAGTACTTTACGGCCAGTTTACCACAGTAGTTTACGGCCAGTTTACCACAGTAGTTTACGGCCAGTTTACAACAGTACTTTACGGCCAGTTTACCACAGTACTTTACGGCCAGTTTACCACAGTAGTTTACGGCCAGTTTACCACAGTAGTTTACGGCCAGTTTACTACAGTACTTTACGGCCAGTTTACCACAGTACTTTACGGCCAGTTTACCACAGTACTTTACGGCCAGTTTACTACAGTACTTTACTGCCAGTATTTTACAGCCAGTGTCACACTCGCATGTAGTAATATGCATCTGGAGACCACTGTCTTAACTATTTTCTTTACTGTCTCTGCAGTTACAACAGCCGGCGCAGTCGTTCTGGGACCTACAGTTCTCGTTCCCGCAGTCGCTCTCACAGCCGCAGCCCCTCACCCCGACGCCATCCGCCCTCCCCCCTCCTCCCACATCTCAAGCCAAAGCCCAGCCACCATGGCAACATCGACCCCAAGCCATCGAGTCGTCATAGCAGCAGCGGAGGAGGGGCTCACAAGAGGAAGAGGTCCAGGTCACGCTCTGCCAGCAAAGGAGAGAGGGAACGGGAGAGAGGGAGGGAGCGGGACAGAGACCGCAGCGCGTCTGACCTCTCCTCGGTCAAGAAGCACAAGCACGAGAGAGGTGGGCCTGGGGGGGGACATCACCGTGGAGACAGGAGGGAGCGGTCCAGGTCATACGAGCGGGAGCGCACCCACAAGGGCAAACGCCATAGCAGCAGCGGTGGACACTCGGGGCATGGGCGCCACCGCCGCTGAACCAGGGTCAGGGGTCAAGAGGAGTAACGTCCACTCCTTAATGCAGTTCTGTCTATTTTCTTTTTGGTCTGGTTTCCCACCCCAATCCTCCCATTCAAACCTTTTTTAGTTTAAATGTAAAATGATGGACTTGGAGAGAACATATTTACAGTGTAAAGATGGGTAACTGCTGATTTATTGACAATGCTTTGATTTATAAAAGCGACTCTTCAGTGGAAGAAGGAATGAATGTGTATTGAACAATAAAATAATCATTCAGGAAAGACATCCCAATAGTTTTTGCACAGTGGACTGAAGGTGACTACCGGCTTCAATTTGTTTGATAATTTCTTTGGACAAATGTGCGTTCGCTAAAGCCGTGTTCTGTACAGATGCAAAGGACTACTGGGCTTCTCTAGAAATAGGCCATGTTTTTTTACATCTGGATGCAGACTCTTGATTTCAGAACCTTTTAGGATCGTGGTGAATTTGTTACACTGGTTTTTAGTCTGCATGTGTTCATGTCTGATTTTTACACAATAAAAAAAAAAAGAGAGACTGACAATTGATTGACGTCTGTTTTGTTACACCATACTACAGGTCATGAAAAGCTGCAGTCGCCTTCACACAGGCAGCCCAATTCTGATATTCTTTCACTAATGGTCATTTGACCAATTGGATCAGCTCTTAAAAATACAAATTAGTTAGGGAAAAATCTGAATTGGGCTGCCTGTGTGAACCCAGCCAAAATGGGGCGTGTTAAACACCTGTCATGTTGACAACTCTATCCCTTCAACAGTCTTAACAGGCCTACACATCTACTGGCAGTTAGGTGTTGTCATGATCCAAGAGTGAAAAGCTGTCCATCACATTATCAGGCTCCTAATCGTGAAGCATTAAAATCACATTTCATTTGCCACATGTGCCGAATACAGCGAAATGCTTTATTACAAGCCCTTAACCAACAATGCAGTTTTAACAAAAATATGTGTTACGTTAAAAATAACATAATTAAAGAGCAGCAGTAAAATAACAGTAGCGAGGCTATATACAGGGGGTACCGGCTAGTCCAAGTAATTGAGGTAATATGTACATGTAGGTTAGAGTTAGTGACTGCATAGATAATAAACAGAGTAGCAGCATCGTAAAAAGCAAATAGTCCGGGTAGCCATGATTAGTTGTTCAGGAGTTTTGTGGCTTGGGGGTAGAAGCTGTTAAGAAGCCTTTTGGACCTAGACTTGGCGCTCCGGTACCGCTTGCCGTGCGGTAGCAGAGAGAACAGTCTATGACAAGGGTGGCTGGAGTGTTTGACAATTTTTAGGGCCTTCCTCAGACACCGCCTGGTATAAAGGTCCTGGATGGCAGGAAGCTTGGCCCCAGTGATGTACTGGGCCGTACGCACTACCCTCTGTAGTGCCTTGTGGTCGGAGGCCGAGCAGTTGCCATACCAGGCAGTGATGCAACCAGTCAGGATGGTGCAGCTGTATAACTTTTGAGGATCTGAGGACCCAAGCCAAATCTTTTCAGTCTCCCTGAGGGGGAATAGGCTTTGTCGTGCCCTCTTCACGACTGTCTTGGTGTGTTTGGACCATGATAGTTTGTTGGTGATGTGGACACCAAGGAACTTGAAGCTCTCAACCTGCTCCACTACAGCCCCGTCAATGAGAATGGGGGCGTGCTCAGTCCTCTTCTTTTTTTTTTTTACCCATAGCATTGTAAGTAATTGCTCCTCTGGGATAAATACTTATCATTTAATTGATTTATTAGAGTCCAGTGTGATACCCCAGAGTCATGTGTAATTCCAAACCTGCAGATTACACCCTAGTATGCCTTATTACACTGCAGAGTGTATAGGGAAGTGATACTGGTAGGTAACATGAACTTCCTGTTAAACAATGGTTGGCCTATATATTTCCATCATGTTACGAATTACGGATTGTATAATGTAGCTTATGTCAATAGTGTTCTGATGAGCATGTAATAATAATTATAATAATAATAATATGCCATTTAGCAGACGCTTTTATCCAAAACGACTTACAGTCATGTGTGCATACATTTTTTACGTATGTGCATGTGGGTAGAGTTAAAGTGACTGATCACCACAAGAGGGCAGGGCTAGCTTAATATTCTGTTGCTCCTGAAGTGAGGATGTTGTGGTCACAGCAGGCCAGGGTAGCAGGCCAGGGTAGCAGGCCAGGGTAGTAGGCCAGGGTAGCAGGCCAGGGTAGCAGGCCAGGGTAGCAGGCCAGGGTAGTAGGCCAGGGTAGCAGGCCAGGGTAGCAGGCCAGGGTATTAGGCCAGGGTAGCAGGCCAGGGTAGCAGGCCAGGGTAGCAGGCCAGGGTAGCAGGCCAGGGTAGTAGGATTTGGTCCCATTCTCTCTCTTTTTCACCCTCATTCCCTCTATTATTTCTCTTTATCCTCCCTTCTCCCATTATGACAACAGTTTTTAAATGGACTTTCCTCCACTATCACCTCTCATATACTCCATTACATGGCACACTGTATATGATTTCATCTGCTATCACACCAGAGGTCAAAGTGCATACATTCACACCCACCCACACACACACACACACACATATTGACAGCTCCAGTTACAGATTGTGCAACAGGAAACTGGTGCACATGCAGCCAAATGATTAGGCAACAGTCTCTGTTCATATATACTGTCAGTCTACTGTACATCCACACTGGGTCTGGTCTGGTCTGGTCTGGTCTGGTCGGGTCTGGTCTGGTCTGGTCTGGTCTGTACCAGTGCGATCTGTAAAGGTGAGAGGTCAACTACACTACACCGAGAGGCTCTGGATTACCACGGACGGACTGAACATAGGGCAATTTTGGCAAATTGGGGGGGTTTTGCACAAAATTATCACTATTTAGCTAATAACGGGGGCTTCAAGGAAAACGACAACTAATGTCCCTGGCTGAACCTGACTACACAGAGAGGGAAAGAGGGAGAGAGAGAGGGAGAGAGGGAGAGAGAGGTAGAGAGTGCTAGAGCTTTCGAGATTGATAGTATAGTATCGATCTTTCGCTCTGGCTCTATATTTCTCATTTCTCTTTCCCTTTTCTCTTCTCCTTTCTCTCTCTTTCCTTTTCTTGTCTCTCTCTTTCTCTCTCTTCCCTCTGTTCAGTCTTCTCTCTCTCTCTCTTTCCTCCTTTCTCTCTCTCTCTCTTTCCCGCCTCTTTCTCTCTCTCTCTCTCTCTTTCCACTATTCTCTCTCTCTTTTTTTTTTCTCCCCCACAGCAGCCTATAGATGGAAACAGAGAAAAGGCTCAGTAACTCAGATTGTACCGAACATACAGGCTTAGTTAACACATTTGACACATCAGTTATGATTCATGTGTATTAATGAGGAGACAGTAGGACACCAGTGTAATCTTATGGGTACTGCTGTACGGTACACAATGCTACACAATGGATTGTTTTTATGAGTTTGTCTGCGCAAAAATGTTAACAGCCAGTGTGTGTGAGTGTTTAAGGAAAGAAAACACACGTCTTCTATAAATCCAGGAAATTGACCTGTAACTACATTCCCAATGTATATCTGGAATTAATTTCCCCCGGAAGGGTACTAAAGGTAATGTGCTGTATGCCTCTGGCAGTATATTACAGTATGTGAGAGAGACCCTAACTCTGCAACACGTTGTGAAATCACACAGCTACGGACTAAAGACTTTCTTCATGAGCTATTTCACTGTCGTGAGCAAGCTTAGAAATGACTGCCACATTCCAGCGCTATGATAGGAGCATAGAACCCCACAGCGAGGGAGCAGATCAAATCAAATCACACTTTATTGGTCACATACACATGTTTAGCAGATGTTATTGCGGGTGTAGCGAAATGCTTGTGTTCCTAGTTCCAACATTGCAGTAGTATCTAACAATTCACAGCAATACACAAAAAATCTAAAAGTAAAAGAATGGAAATAAGAAATATATAAATATTAGTATCAATGTCGGAATGGCATCGGAGACTAAAATACAGTAGAATAGAATACAGTACAGTTGAAGTCGGAGGTTTACATACACCTTAGCCAAATACATTTAAACTCAGTTTTTCACAGTTCCTGACATTTTATCCTAGTAAAAATTCCCTGTTTTAGGTCAGTTAGGATCACCACTTTATTTTCAGAATGTGAAATGTCAGAATAATAGTAGAGAGAATGATTTATTTAAGCTTTTATTTCTTTCATCACATTCCCAGTGGGTCAGAAGTTTACATACACTCAATTAGTATATGGTAGCATTGCCTTTAAATTGTTTAACTTGGGTCAAACGTTTTGGGTAGCCTTTCACAAGCTTCCCACAATAAATTGGGTGAATTCTGGCCCATTCCTCCTGACAGAGCTGGTGTAACTGAGTCAGGTTTGTAGGCCTCCTTGCTCACACACGCTTTTTCAGTTCTGCCCACACATTTTCTATAGGATTGAGGTCAGGGCTTTGTGATGGCCACTCCAATACCTTGACTTTGTTGTGCTTAAGCCATTTTGCCACAACTTTGGAAGTATGCTTGGGGTCATTGTCCATTTGGAAGACCCATTTGCGACCAAGCTTTGAGATGTTGCTTCAATATATCCACATAATCTTCCTTCCTCATGATGCCATCTATTTTGTGAAGTGCACCACTCCCTCCTGCAGCAAAGCACCCCCACAGCATGATGCTGCCACCCCTGTCCTTCACGGTTGGGATGGTGTTCTTTGGCTTGCAAGCCAACCCCTTTTTCCTCCAAACATAACGATGGTCATTATGGCCAAACAGTTCTATTTTTGTTTCATCAGACCAGAGGACATTTCTCCAAAAAGTATGATCTTTGTCCCCATGTGCAGTTGCAAACCGTAGTCTGGCTTTTTTATGGCTGTTTTGGAGCAGTGGCTTCTTCCTTGCTGAGCGACCTTTCAGGTTATGTCGATATTGGACTTATTTTTACTGTGGATATAGATGCTTTTGTACTGGTTTCCTCCAGCATCTTCACACGGTCCTTTGCTGTTGTTCTGGGATTGATTTGCACTCTTCGCACCAAAGTACGTTAATCTCTAGGAGACATAACACGTCTCCTTCCTGAGCGGTATGACGGCTGCGTGGTCCCATGGTGTTTATACTTGCGTACTATTATTTGTACAGATGAACGTGGTACCTTCAGGCGTTTGGAAATTGCTCCCAAGTATGAACCAGACTTGTGGAGGTCTACAATGTTTTTTCTGAGGTCTTGGCTGACTTCTTTTGATTTTCATATGATGTCAAGCAAAGAGGCACTGCATTTGAAGGTAGGCCTTGAAATACATCCACAGGTACACCTCCAATTGACTCAAATGATGTCAATTAGCCTATCAGAATCTTCTAAAGCCATGACATAATTTTCTGGAATTTTCCAAGCTGTTTAAAGGCACAGTCAACTTAGTATATGTAAACTTCTGACCCACTGGAATTGTGATACAGTGAATTATAAGTGAAATAATCTGTCTGTAAACAATTGTTGGAAAAATGACTTGTGTCATGCACAAAGTAGATGTCCTAACCAACTTGCCAAAACTATA